ATTTCAAGTTACCCACCTTACACAGCTTCTTACAAAATTTGTTAGTTTAGTGACCCAGGAGATTTGTGATTGTAATTTTATTTGTTCTAGTAGACATAACTTGGGGAGCCTATCAGTCTCCATTTCATTGACTTTTCACCAGTGGTTATAAGCTCTAATTTTGGATAGAGCATGAATTGTATGAATTTCCAATTCAGCTCTAACTGCTGCAGCAGATGTTCTTGGATCTACACCCAGAATACATCTCAAATGCTGGGACTGTGTTTGTTCTAAGACTGTGGTTGAGTATAGACCCCAAACTTTTGCTCCATACAAGAGCATAGTGGTAACCTTAGCTTTATATACCTTAATTAATGGGGCTAAGAACCCTGGGTAGCTATGGTTCTTTAGTTTAAGCAATAAATTCAGGCAGGCTTTTGCTTTAAATGTACTTCGTTGATGATGGCAAACCCAAGATCCAGTCTTGGAAAAAGTTATGCTCAGATATACAAAGATGTTAACCTGTTCAATTGGTTCACCATCTAATTGCCACAGATAAGAAATAAATGATCACTCTCTAGTCTAGATTTAAATTGTAAATCTACATTTTTAATGTGGAAATGCATAAAGTAATCAATAGTTGAAAGTATAGAGCTTGACCAAGATATAAAGTGACCAGTATGGTCTTTTTGAACAGCACCATTTAAGGTATGGTGATTTGGGGAATAAGTTACTTGAGCTAAACAAGATCTAGCTAGGTTACATATATAATGTAATAACTTAAATGCTGTCCATCAACACACCCCAATCAATATCTAAAAAGCCAGTTACAACTATATATACCAGACAGAAAAACACACAGTCTGATAGAGAGAAGTTCCCTGAAGATGGGCTCTTGCAAAAGTCCAAAAGCTTGGAAGACTAAACCTCTGGTCCTGGTGTCCAGGCCAAATTGGATGCTGCAACATTATACTAGGACATATATATATATTTGTCTTCATTTGTGAAGTCATGTATATAGTCCAAAGAGATCCTGACTTAGAGATCAACTGGCTTGATTATTGAAAGTGCTTGTGTAATATCATTTGCTCCCACCTTAATTACCACTGCTTCTGGTTGTCTTTCTGACCATTGGGGCAAAATCATAGTCGTTCCTATATTTAAAAAAACCATGGAATGGAATGGAGTGGAGTGGAATGGGGTGGGGTGGAGTGGAATAGAATAGAATAGAATAGAATAAAATAGAATAGAATAGAATAGAATAGAATAGAATAGAATAGAATAGAATAGAATAGAATAACAGAGTTAGAAGGGACTTGCAGGTTTCTAGTCCAACCCCCTGCTTAGCCAGGAAACCCTATACCATTTCAGACAAATCGTTGTTCAGTCTTTTCTTAAAAATGTCCAGTGTTGGAGCATTCACAACTTCTGGAGGCAGGTTGTTCCACTGATTAATTGTTCTAACTGTCAGGAAATTTCTTCTTAGTTCTATGTTGCTTCTCTCCTTGATTAGTTTCCATCCGTTGCTTCTTGTCCTGCTCTCAAGTGCTTTGAAGAATACTTTGACTTCCTCTTCTTTGTGGCAATCCCTGAGATATTGGAACACTACTATCATGTAACCCCTAGTCCTTGTTCTCATTAAACTAGACATACCCAATTCCAGCAACCATTCTTTATGTTTTAACCTCCAGTCTCATGATCATCATTGTTGATCTTCTCTGCACTCTTTCTAGAGTCTCAACATCTTTTTTACATCATAGTGACCAAAACTGGAGGTAGTATTCCAAGTGTGGCCTTATCAAGGAGTTATAAAATGGTATTAACGCATCAAATGATCTTGATTCTATCCCTCTGTTAATGCAGCCTAGCACTGTGTTGGCTTTTTTTGGTACCTGCAGCACACTGCTGGTTTATATTTAAGTGATTGTCAATTAGGATTCCAAGATCCCTGTCTCATTTACTGCTATTGAGCGAGGTACCACCTATACTGTACCTGTGCATTTGTTTTTTCTTGTTTAAATTTAGAACCTTACTTTTTTCACCATTGACTTTCATTTTGCTAGATAGTGCCCAATGTTCAAGTCTGCTAAGATAGTTCTTTACTTTAAGCCTATCTTTTGGAGTTTTGGCTATTCCTGCCAGCTTAGTGTCATCTTCAAATCTGATGAGTTCCTCAGCTATCCCCTCATCCAAATCATTGATGAAGATGTTGAAGAGTACTGGGCCTAAAACTGGGCCCACTACACATTTCCCTCCATGTAGATGCAGTTCCATCAAGGATCACATGCTGAGTACTGCCAGTCAGCCAGCTACGAATCCATCTAGTGGTGATGCTGTCTAACCCACATTTTTCTAACTTATCAAGCAGTAAGTTGTGGTCTACTTTATCAAATGCCTTACTAAAGTCCAAGTAAATTATATCCACAGCATTCCTCTGACCCACTAACTTTGTCACCTTGTCAAAGAATGCAATAATTTTTTTGAGATTTAGAGTATATTATAGTAACCATAAACAGATTATTAATCCAATAATATAAATGAAAGTAGTATAAAAAGATTACAGTTACATCTTTAATATCTATATTAATTCCCTTATTGTAATGGTACATGAGAATGACCTTGGATGACAGAAGGAATATATGCTGACTAGGGAATGACCGATAAGACAAAGCATACCCCATATCTGTGTGGTAGGTAGATGGTGGGAGATTTGTATAGGTAGTCCTCAACTTATAACTACAGTTGTGACCAGAATGTCTGGAGACTGTTAAATGAGTAGCCCACAATTTTATGATCTTTTTTGCCAAAGTTGTTAAGCAAATCACTTTAGTTAAGTAAATCATGTAATCCATAAATGACTCCACCTTCCCACATTGACTTAGTATCATGGAATCATAGAATAATAGAGTTGGAAGGGACTTAAGAGGTCTTCTGTTCCATGCTTTTTCAACCTTTTCCTCCCATCTCACTGTGGTCCTTTTATATTATGGAAGTGGTATTTTCATCTATTCAAATAACAGGCATTCCTCAAATCAAGCTAAGCTTATTGTAGTAATATACTGTATAGTATTTTCATCCCACTTTTAAATCCTATCACATATACCTTACACAATGAAGATATAATGGATGCCTGGAAAATCACAATTTAAAAAGGTGAAACATTTATTTCTTAATGCTAATTGTTTTCTAGATTATCTTCATAATTGGAATTAATGTTCAATTAATTAATTAAAACTGTGGTGAATATACAGATTCTAATGTAATATGAATTTCAGGGCACTAGTCTTTGCAGTATTTACTGCAGTGTAAAAAAAAAATCATTTTTGTAATTATCCCAATTTGTAACTTGCTGGTTGTTCATTGCAAAGAATGAAACTTCATGTGATAAAAATGCATACAGCCAATTCCTGCACAGCTGGTTTATTCAAAAAGTTTCTAATATGTATTTAAATAGATTGTTTATGCCATGACTTGGGTATGTCTTGAAAATAAAAGAGTAGTCTTGCAAAATAAGACTATTTTTAACTAATTGATAGTTCTGTCTTTCAAATGTCTGTGGAAGTACATAAAGAGTGCAGGGGAATTTTGATTTCTTTTCTTCAGTGACTAGTTCTTAGAAATATGTAGAGTTTGATTCTGAGAGTAGTATAAAGAGCATCATGATAAGCATCCTTTCAAAGTCTTAATTATATTGTTTGAACATAATTGTGATTCCTCCCAGTCATCATATGTCCTATGTATCTCTTTGTTGCTACTTTTTGTGAATAAAAACAAATCTCAGAAAAAAAAAAGATCTGATCTCTAAGTAATTTTTAAAACAGCCAGATTGTAATGGAAAGTAGTCTGGATTCCCAGGAGGGAGGGACAGCATTGCAGAGGTGGAAGAGAAGGTGAAGATTAAATAATTTCTTTGAGAGAAAAATGGTCAAGATAGCTCCTACCTAGGCGTTCTCAGAGTGTATTTTTAGTGCTACAAATAGTTGCTTTAATTTGGCAAGATTGTTCTCTATAGGTGAAGAACAATAAAGGAAACTGCTTTGAAGTAATGTAGCATTCTTTCTTGACATTTGGAGCCTGACACAAATGTTCTCTACTGAATATGTCTCCTTCATTGATATCATTGCTACAAGACCCAAGAATTAGCAGAAATTCTGTTTGGCATAATTTCTTTAACCTAGTAGTTTCACTTAATTGTTCTTTAATGGTAGGTATCTCTAAGGAATGAGAAAAGCTAATATATTGGAAAAACCTCAAGGGATTTAGTTTGTTTCAGCACTTTAGAGAAAATAAGTGTTTATCCTTATTAAAAGAGATTTGCATTTTAATAAAAGTTGTTTCCATATATAATACTACAAGAGGCTGCAATTGTCTGCTTTTATTTAAAGATAGGTGGTAAATAGATGATAAATAGATAGGTGACAGGTACTTTTGAAATATTTAAAACAAATGTAAGTACACTAGCTTCTTTTCCAATATGAAGCATACTTTTTCTTGTATAAAGATTTATTTCTGTTCACAAAGGAACAAAACAATTGTGGAAATCGCCATGCTTATACTGGAGAGTGCAATGCAACATCTAAGGATTTTTGTAGTTGATTTTAGAGGATTTGGAACAGTTGAATGTTTTATCTGTTTTATTTTTAGTGTTTTAAAGATCCTATACTCAATTTCTTATTGCCATATTGTTGAAAATGTCTCACAGACTTAGGGTAGAGAAGCAAGTAATCGATATAAGAAATGAAAACTGCTTCAAATTTTATGTAGAGGATAATCCAGTTTTAGAAACTTACTTGATTGAATTAATGACATAAGGAATACAAATAAAAATAGATAACTCTCAAATTCTTTTTGTGTGTTTTATGCCAAATAATGCTCATTTCTCTTGAAAAGATTACACTGAAAGCACAACTATGTCATATTTCATCATTTATGCTGCTTTTAATTTCATGTATATAATATTTAATCTTATAAAAATGGATGTTCTTATTCTCTATAGGACTAGGTCTTATTTTCATTGAGGCATGGTGGTACAAAATGAAACTGAACTGACTGAGTTTATCATACTTGGCTTTAGAAACCTGCAGGAGATCCATCTTTTGCTCTTCACTGGGTTCTTCATCATTTATCTCTTCACGGTGGTGTGGAATACCTTCATTATCCTAATGACATTGATTGACCAGAAACTACAAACCCCTATGTATTTCTTCCTTGGGAACCTCTCCTTTCTGGATATTTGCTATACAAGCACCACTATCCCCCAGATGCTGTCCCATTTACTCTCAGAGAAAAATAGCATTTCCTATATAGGTTGTGCACTTCAGGCATATTTCTTTTTTTCTTTTGTGGGCATTGAATGCCTCCTGCTTGCAGTAATGGCCTTTGATCGCTATGTTGCCATTTGCAATCCTCTACGCTACTCATTGATTATTAGCAAAGAAATTTGTCTCCAACTGGCTACATCCTGCTGGGCTGGTGGTTTACTCAACTCAGTAGTACATACCACCTTTGCCTTCCGGTTACCATTTTGTGGCAATAACCACCTGGATGCTTTTTATTGTGATATTGCTCCATTATTGAGATTATCATGTGGAGACACTTCTCTTAACCAAGTTCTTTTGCTCTCCATTGGCTTTTTCATAGCTTGGACCCCTTTGGCATGCATCCTTCTATCATATAGTTATATCATTTCAACCATCTTAAGTATACACTCTTCAGAAGGCAGGAAAAAAGCCTTTTCTACCTGTTCCTCCCATCTCACAGTGGTCCTTTTATACTATGGAAGTGCCCTTTTCACTTACTCAAGGTCAAATAACAATCATTCTTCAAATCAAGCTAAACTTATTCCAGTAATATATAGTATTTTAACCCCACTTTTAAATCCCATCATATATACCTTGCGCAATAAAGATGTAATGAATGCCTGGAGAAATGCAATTAAAAATGATGAAACATTTTTTCTTAAAACCTAATTATTTCCAAGATTGTCTTTCCAATGAATGAATATTTAATTAATACTATTGTGAAATATGCAGATTCTGATGTACATATGTATTTCAATGTGCACTGGTTTTTCCAACATTTACAGCAATGTGTTTATTTATTGTATAACTTGATGGTTCATCTTAAATAATGACACTTTAGTTCATAAAAACTCTTGCATAGCTAGCCTATTCAAACTTTTTTTTTCCTCACACATATTTGGAATAGATTGTTTATGTCATGACTTGACTATGCCTATGAGAACAGAAGAGTAATCTTGAGAAATAAGACTAAAAGATTTTAACCAGTTGAAACTTTCTGACTATGCGAGCACCTACAGAATATACAGAGTAATAAAAATTATCAATAAGGGGAAATATTTGTAGCTCAGGGTAATAATAATAATAATAATAATAATAATAATAATAATAATAATAATAATAATAATAATAATAATAATAATAATAATAATAATAATAGTAAAGTTGGAAGGGACCTTGAAGGTCATCTAGTCCAACCCCCTGCTCAGGCAGGAAACCCTATACCATTTTGGATAAATGGCTGTCCAGTCTCTTCTTAAAAACTTCCAGTGTTGGAGCATTCACCGCTTCTGGAGGCAGGTTGTTCCACTGGTTAATTGTTCTCACTGTCAGGAAGTTTCTCCTTAGTTCTAGATTGCTTCTCTCCTTGATTAGTTTCCACCCGTTGCTTCTTGTCCTGCTTTCAGGTGCTTTGGAAAATAGCTTGACTCCCTCTTCTTTGTGGCAGCCCCTGAGATATTGGAACACTGCCATCATGTCCCCCCTCGTCCTTCTCTTTGTTAAACTAGACATACCCAATTCCAGCAACTGTTCCTTATATGCTTTAGCCTCCAGTCCCCTAATCATCTTTGTTGCTCTTCTCTGCACTCTTTCTAGAGTCTCAACATCTTTTTTACATCGCGGTGACCAAAATTGGATGCAGTATTCCAAGTGTGGCCTTACCAAGTTTTGGTAAAAAAGGTTGAAATGAGGGATTCTTGGTGCTCTCTGAGCTTGATTGTTTTCTTGCAGACATTTCATTACCAAACTAGATAAAATGATCAGTAGCATTAGCACTGTTGATGTTACATAATTTGGATAATGAAACATCTGCAAGAAAACAACCAAACTCAGAGAACACCAAAGACCTTCAATAAAAGTTATTTCTATATTTCAATTCTACATTTTTATATACTATAATACTACAAAAGGCTGCAATCATCTACTTTTATTCAAAGGTAGGTAGGAGATAAATAGAGAATAAATACATTCTAAATATTTAGTTAAATGTAAGTATACTAACTTCTTATACAATATGAAACATACATTTTTATATGAAGATGGAGTTCTGTTCACAAATGAATAAAAAAATAGTTGAAATCACAATGCATGTAATATAGAACATTGATGCTACATCAATGTTCTTATGTATTTGATTTTAGAGATTCTGAACTATTGAAAATTTTATTTGTTTTATTTTCAGTATTTTAAATTTTTTGTATTCCATTTTGTATGGCTATATTTTAGAGAATGCCTCTAGCATTCAAAGTGTAGTAGAGTAGAAAATGTAATAAATGAATGTAATAAATGAAAGGTGCTTCAAAATCAATACAGAGGATAATCCTGGCTTTAAAATTTTGATTGAACTGATGGAATAAACAGTATGAATAAAAATAGATAACTTCAAATTGTATTTATGTGTTTAGTGGCATATAATCTTAATTTTAATGAAGTGTTCCTAATTTTAACTATTTAGTAGATCCTTACTAACCACTAACTATAGGAAAAGATTTTCAAAAAAAGGATCAGAAACAAAATTAGTTTCATCTCAGTGAACCAAAGACAGTATTCATTAATTTCATAGAATATTATAGAATATTAAACATGTAACCAAAAATTCTTATTGGTTCTGCTATGTTTTGATTCAGTGACAGTTCACAAACAATTGAATTCAGTGATTTATGGATTAATAGATTATTTCATTTTTAGCAAGTTTGGCTGATCTTTCTTCATGAAACACATTATGAAATATATTTCTTTATGGTACATTGCCATCTGAGTAACCTTGGTCCAATCAATTTCTCTCAGTTCTAGGAAGGAGCCAATTGCAAACCTTATCCAGGCATCTCTAAAAATTGAAAAGGAAAAAAAAAATGACATCATACAGATAGTCCTCAAATACAGTCACAAGGGATTATGGAATTTTGGACATAAATCATTGCATAAGTCACATCCATATGTCTGCCACACTGAATGACCACAAACCCGGCTCTCCCAGTTGCAGGGATTAAGCAATCATGCAGGTTATTAAGTGGAGCATTGGAATGACTCAGAGGGTATGAGAGACTATGAGGAGCCCCAAATGAACAAGCTCTATTCCTTGGAAGCTGTGATGGAATATAGTGAGGAGATAGATCCCAGCCTTGCAGTGTGGCACTTGGAAGTAGGACCAGATATGATATGTGAGAGAAAGAGGGTAAAGACAGCCCCTCCTTAATAGTTAACAGATTATATTCTAGATGCAGATAATAGTCCTCAGTCTGTCAAGATTTTGTCCATAGGTGTAAAAGAATAAAGAACTCAGCTTGGAAGAATTACCACATGTCATTCTTGGTTTTGGACCTGACAAAAGACTTCAGAAAGTCTCATGTAGCTTCAGAAGTCTCCAGAGCTCTGAACAACTTTGGAAGAGAATAATAATAATAATAATAATAATAATAATAATAATAATAATAATAATAATAATAATAATAATAATAATAATAATAATAATAATAATAATAATAATGATGATGATGATGATGATGATGATGATGATGATGATGATGTTCTTCTTCTTCTTCTTCTTCTTCTTCTTCTTCTTCTTCTTCTTCTTCTTCTTCTTCTTCTTCTTCTTCTTCTTCTTCTTCTTCTTGAAGAAGAAGAAGAAGAAGAAGAAGCAGAAGAAGAAGAAGAAGAAGAAGAAAGGGACCTTGGAGGTCATCTAGTACAATAAGCAGCCAATTCAGATCCTTGAGAATGCTGGGTAGCAGGGGCAATTGAACTGTGCCCCAAGACTTGCATGCATGGAGACTGGTGCAAGGTAATATTTCTGAGGGGCGATAGAAGCAAGTTCTTAATATAAAATTGAACCAAATATTAAGCCCAAGTCATGCATCTAAAAATCATTGTATGCTAAAAATGTTAAAGTAATGTGTAGTATAGCTTCAAAACTAAAACTTGTTTAGCATTTGTTTGTTGTTGTTTCTTACCACATTTTCATCATATCTGTTTTATTGCATTTTAAAATATTTTGAAAAGATCTGTTCTAATCATTTCTCTTTTTCAAAAGTAGTTTTGGGTACAGCAGATGCAAGGCATATTGATGGATGCTAATATAAATATTACAAGAAGGGAATACTTTATTATAACCAAAATCTGCTGAAATGTCAATACTAATAGATATAACAAAAAAAAGCTTACTATAGTGTGTGAGTGTGTTACTTTATTATTAATGCAACTTTCTTGTTAAGCAATCACACAAGTCATTAAGTGGGCTTCATGGTGCCTTAGGTGTGGGGAAGGCCTTGGGAGGCCTAGAGCAGGCTCTGGGCTTCAGTGCAACATATATATGGAAATGAAGTCAGGATAAATAATAGAATTCACATGTGTTTATTTATTACTCTGAACTCCATCCCAGAAATGATGAAGCCAGATTTCATCAGAAAAATATGAAATTACATTAGAAAGGAAATAAACATCTTTAAAAATCCTCTAAGATGTCTATTTTATACAGATGTAATTATTTTAACTCTCCTAAGAAAAAATGCTGAAAGGGAATATACAGCTTTTAAAGTGATATTTTTTATGCCATGGAACTCCCCCCCCAAAAAAAAAAAAAGAAAAAGAAAAAGAAAAAGCAAGCTGAGGAGAAAGAAATAAAGACTTAAAAACAAAACTGAGAGATATGGGGAAATTGTGAATGATTAGATAACAGCTATAAGTAAACTCTCATTAGCAAATTATTTAAAATAAGGCAAAATACTAAAATATTGTTCTTACTACATTTTTATTGTTATGCAATGATCATCAATTTATTTCTGTGGAAATTTTGTAACAATATGCTATATGAAACTGGCCACAGGATTTCACCTGTTACCTAAACTGTGACATTTCATTTAAAGATAATAAAACACGTTTTCTCACCTATCAATTTTCTCACTGACATTTTCACTTCCTTGTTCCGTAGGCTGTAGATGATTGGGTTGAGAGTTGGTGTTAAGATAGTGTATAGAATTCCCACAAGCTGGTCTTTTTCCTTTGAGTAGCTGGAAATAGGATGAATATATGTAAAGATGCTAGAACCATAGAAGAGAATCACGATGGTGAGGTGTGATGCACAAGTAGAAATGGTTTTGTGAAGATGTCTTTTCTGTTGGTTGCTCAGAATGGCATGAAGGATGAAAGCATAAGAAACTAATGTAAAGAAGAAAGGGCTTAGGCCTATGAAAACACCCACAGTGTGTAGTGCAAGTTCATTGACTGATGTGTCAGAACATGAGATACTTAACAACGGAGGAATATCACAGAAAAAGTGATTAATTCCATTTGACCTGCAGAAGGACAGTCGGAATGTGAGTACAGTATGAAGACAAGCATTAAGAAAACCACAAGCCCAGGAAATCCCAGCTAGCTGCAGACAGATATGTTTATTCATGAATCTAGTATATCCTAATGGACAACATATAGCAAAATAACGGTCCAGAGCCATGGAGGCTAAGAGGAATGCCTCAGTGCCTACCAATGCTATGAGAAAATATAATTGTGCAGCACAGCCCATCAAGGAAATGCGTGGAGATTCCACCCAGAGATCTGCTAACATTTTGGGCACAGTCACAGAGATGTAGCAGATATCTAACAATGAGAGATTTCCAAGAAAGAAATACATGGGACTATGGAGAGATTGATTTAGCACAACTACAATGATCATG